ATAAGTATGCATATGCCTGTATATTTTACAGCGCCATTCCACGTTCGCATGCCCGATAGCAAGGTCGAAGCCACGCAACGAAAAATCAATCATATATAACACATCCCCATGTTACAGAAAATCTCAGCAAACATACATAGCCGGTCGTAGTTATGCGTAGTTACATTTCAATTACTGGCATTACTGTGCCCGTCATGACCATGATAAACACAAGCATTTCTTAATAATATTAAAGAATAAAAAATCTCCGTCCTATCGAGCCCGAATATGTCTGCATTACAGACACAGGCCACCGGACAGTCACACTCTGTAATAACACATGGTGCTAGGCATACTCGCACCATATGTTATTACAGAGTGTGATGTTCGAGAAATATGGCAGCTATAAAAAAAAAAGCATAGCCGACTATTAGATGAGTCCGACATTTAAACAAACAAATGTGTCGTACGTTTGTAGGATAATAGTGCGTTCAAAATCTGACGAGGCTCAGAACTGCACTCCCCCTGTGCTTAATATTTTTTTCTACTCGACTCAATAAAGCATCCAGGCTCAATGTCAATGTACTTAATGCGATCTTCAGCCATGCAACTATATCCAGGATCATATTTATTATCCAACGTTACTTGGAAAATTGAATAAACAAAAGTGCAGAAAGACGCACCGTTGATTAAAAAATACTTACGTATATCGGCGACTCTGAAGGTCGAATCTCCATGGTGGTCCTAAAACAGGGACTGCAGCAGACTTTTTATTCTGCAAGGTAATCCAAGAACGTAAAGGAACAAGTGACTGTTATCCACAAATTCCTGCTTAGAGAATCGTAAGAGTAAATAGCAGAGCGTAGATACGCGATACCTTCACCTATGAGAACGTCGAAAGAATATAACATGCGGGTTATAGCATCGGTCTATATATGCATACGTGTATTCATCAAATAGTTTATGTATCATCCTTATGCGGCATAATTGCCTCTTTAATTCCATAGATATATGTATCCAAAAAGGACCGTTGTATTAGCAAAGCGCCTCCGCAAGCCTAACTATGCGCCTCCGTCGACCTTTGTTAGACATTGTCTGCGTAGTCCTTCCAGCAGCTACATCAGCCATCGCTGAAAGCGTGACAAGTTCCACTTACGGTGCTACTGCACCTCAGCGTGAGTTAACAGCGCCAGCGTACGACGATAGAGAAATACGTCTAAAACTGTTCACTCTGAGACCTGCGCCCGCCTTCGTATGGTATTCGCCGCTTGTACGTGCTGGCTGCTCTGTACAGACTTTGTGACCCTTTTATGCAAAGAATATATTTATAAAAATGTATAATAAAGTAATATACAAAAGTTGTATACAATATATAACGTATGAAAATTATTATCTATTTACTATTACTACTAACGACTATCATCATTCCAACGAAGATTTCTTTTATCCGCTTTTATAAAACACTAAACTACGGGGATTCAACAAGGGGAGTGTATACGGTCTTTTGAATCTTTCTGATGTTTAAATCTTTTTCTTGAAACATTTCCAAACACTGTTTAAATCTCGAAACAAACAGTTGTCGATTAACAAAAAGCCCAGTCGCAGGATAAGAATAGGTTTCCAACTTCGAATGCTTGAGTCTTAAACCATCATTTATGTAACACGTAGGTTTTTCCGAGTCCTAACTCGTTTAACTGATTTTGGGTTTTTTTTTTTATTCATGTGACAAGGTTATAGATACGGATATTTTGAAAATTGCTGCTATCTACCTCGCATCGTCGTTTGTGTGCGCTGGTCTCCTGCAGAGACTTCTCAGCATAAATATGTGGACAAGACAAAGCAGAATCTGAACATAGAGTTGTATTGATATACTTCTACGGCGAAGCGCATGTTTGAAGATCTTCTGATTTTTTTCGTCTTAGTACTTCCGTTTGATTATGTTGGTTCTATTGAATAATCTTAGATGCGGGGTCCTGACAATCTTAGATCTTGTCGCGGTGATTTGCACGATTGTAGTAGTTCAAAGTTTGCCATCGGTGTATACCTCTTTCTACATGTGTAGTAAGATTAGGTTTGGTTTTTCAACTTTGTTGAAGTTATGAGAAAGATCGAGTTAAAACCACAAGATAAGCAACAGATACGAGGGTTTTTTCTGGTTGTTTGAACCTATGGCTGATCTTTAACTATTACTTCCTTATAGACTGAATTATACCGTATCTGCCTCGTGAGATATTATTACGAGGGTCATGCAAGAGGGGCCAGCAGTATAATCGCGCCCTTTTAGTCCTCTGCCGAAATCCACGAAGGGCAAGCTTGCGATACGGAATGTCAGTCCGGATGTGGAATACTATGTTCTATTCTTTTCATGTAGTGTTTGCTATCTATCTATTGACGGATTTTATTAAGCTTATCTGAGTTTTTCCTCAACCTACCTCTACAGCGGCATGGCAATAATATACCATAGTAGAAAAAAACGAGCTTGCCTAACCTCAGTATCAGGAAGATCCAACTTGCTAAGAAAATTAAAATAGCGGGAAGGTATTAAGGCAATGGTAAACAGCACGTGTTTCGTTCTGCAAATCTACATTTTCCGATGCTACCGTAAGCTTTCAAATTCTGCGGGCAACACTGTCGACGGAAAAAACGAGGTCAGATAATGCGCAATCTAGATATATAACTTTGGTTAAGTATAGTAAACAGTTAAATTGCGCAATGTATTGCTCACAAGTAGCTTGCTATAAGCGTTTTTTTCGGCCCTACTTGTGCTCGCTCTATTTGAATCTTTCAAGAAGACCCCGGCAGCAGTACTAGATTTAACCGGCAACAAGGACAGATTCGAGTATAGTTTTCTGTCGGGATACCCGTGGCCTTGGCCCCACAAGCAACTGCGGCATTGTTCGTATTCTGAAACACAACAATGATGCCCTTCGGCGAACCTTTATTCCGCCCTGTTTTTCATTCTTTCGGACCATTCCTATTACACTTTCTTCTTGTGATCTAGAATACCTTCCCTGTCTCTCTATCGAAGGAAGTAACTTCGTCGTTCTATCTGTGCTATGTGGCCTGTGCCAGCTATTCCCCTACACTTCCTGGCACTGCCTGAATCCATCATTTCTCTTCATAGTTTTCGTACTGCGGCTGCTCGTCGTCTGCACCCAAGCCAATGGCAGCGGAACAAGCAGTGGTCTGACTTCATATATTTTCCTTTGCCGTCGCCCTAGTGTTTGACCCCTTCAACAAAAACTTCCAGTTTCTTCCCTTTTGAGGTTCTTCTTCTCTTGCTGCCTACGCAAGTTTGTGCAAGTCACGGTAGGCCTGCCGAACCTTCGTGTATTGCTTACCTACTACTCTTCCTCTAGCGCTTCACGCAAGTTTAGCCCCTGTGCGCGAACTTGTTTGCATGAACAGCCTGCGATCCACCAACGAAATACGACCTGGAATATCGCTTGGCGAACAGTCGCTATCGGCCAAACCTATATCGTCACCATGACAGTCATTCTGTCTGTACGCTATACGCGGCTAAGATAACGTTAGCAGTTGGCGCATTTCGTTACAAAATTGGAGTTCGGCCTTGCTGCTCCGCGTAGGTAACATGCCCATAGGTCAACAGGCGCTTTGCCTACCCTTCGCTCGTTATCTAGCTGAACCTGTCTACTCCGAGCTATTAGCACTACTACTACCACAGTCGGTTGTACTTCGACTTTCGCGCAAAAGCTCTAGCCTTCGAATCCTGGGTCGAACGGGTTTCAGCTGAGAAGATGCTACGACACTGATGTCCTGTCTAGGAAAGTGTCGAGCAGCTACTACAGCCACAAGCACCGCGCACCCCGCCACTGCTGCTGTCGCGAAAATGGGCGAAGCCGTAGACGAAGTGTCGTCCCGACAAAGGTACGTCCTGCTTATTAATTGTATAGTGATGCCTGCAGAATAGAAGCCGCAAGCAGACCAAACCGCTCAAGATCAACCATTAGGGGTTCTTTTTGCAAATATAGATAATTAGATAAACAGAGTGCCATTAAGCTGAACTGGCTGTGAGACGCAACGAGTGCAAACATCGAAAATTGCTGCTAGTATAATATTTAGTTGTTAACAAGCCGACTGTGTTATACCCGCCCGTCGGAGGCAGCCAAACAGGCCGCGTGATTAGGTTATTCTCTGGAAGCCATTTTTGTTGCCTTCAAAGAGATGTAAGTCAAGAAAGCGCTTTGAAAACTCTGTTAATTAGGCCGCGTGGCAACGAATCAGAGGTTCTCGACAAACTGCAGCAAGAGTTACTACGTTCGAGTGTAGCTATTCTGCATCCGCAAGCAAACAGGATTCGCAAAATTCTCCATTATAACTAGTTCGCTAATCACTCTTCCGGGGCTGTCTACAGTAACTCTGCGTAAAAATAGAAGCACAGCTAGAATAAGCTTGGCCAGTATTCTGTCTGATAAAAAAAACAATATACGCTATAGGGACGCAGCGTTACGATATCCTACGATCTCAACACCATTAAAAAATCAAAATAATAGCTTAGGATGAACTCAAATTTATTTTTTCTTCCGATCTGAGTAATACTGATGATCTGACCTACCATATTTGCAACTTATTACTTGCGTTTAGCGTAGCTTTCTGTTTAAGCTACACCTAAGTCCGACCAATTCGCATTTAGCAGCTGTGGCTGGGCTCGCAAACAGTGGCGCTTGTTGTTTCATTTGTTCAATTTGACTCTGTTTTTCCCGCATAAATAGAATATGACGCATCGTTTATCCGGAACGAAACAACGATAAGAGATCGTATACATATTGTTTAACTATGAAATAAATTTTATCGACATCGGAAGTCGAGATGGTAATTAAGGCCTATTAGGTGCAATGTCATCAAAGTTAACTATTATAATAAATAACGAAACAACACAGACGGATATGTCCCCATCTTGCTAATAATATAGTAAGGCTAGTCTAAATAATTATAAACAAACAAGTAAATTTGAAAAAAAAAAACTTTTTTCCTATGGAAATTGTTTCTATCTATCTCTTGCAAAATTATATATGACGCAGTAATGTGCTCAGCCCGAACGCTGACGCCGACCTGTGCCGGTACCTGTGTCTCTTAGCTATCCCTTAGCAACTGCAGTATCACATTATCCGATTCAGTGTTCCCATTTTTGGCGTCTGTGCCATCTTAGTCGGCCGCGCGTCTGACTATCGCTCATGATTTCACCGAATTCCCTTAATACGTTAGTAAAAATTATACGTTTCTACCGCCTTCTACTGAACAACACGTCTCCGTGGAAAGCACGTTTGCTTTCTCTGGAGAACTGATTCCCACAGTGGTCCAACGATAGTTTAAGCCTCTTGCATCAGACAGATATGATATGCACACAAAATAGTCCCTCAACAGCAGTCCAATAGTTAATGAGCAACCGATTTAAATTATTCTGCTCACACGGTCAGTTACTTTAGTCAACACCCATGTTTCAGTGAATCAAATAGCAACAATATCAAGCCGACCCAATCCTTGAACAGACAGTAATAACAATATTAATCAGACTAGCACAAAAAACACAAGTCTTTCCTCGAAAGACGAAACCATTCGCAAGTAAGACGAAGCCGGAAAAGTTTCCGTCCGGCTGTTACGACGGATGTGTAACGGCACGAAGGGTACTGAGAGGACATAAGTTTTTGCAATACATATAACATTTCAGAATCTAACATTCATAAACAACTAACTGTCAGACCGGACACACCGCAGATTTACAGGTAGGTATTATTCGACCGATATTCACATAAC